CAGGCATATCCCATCCTTCACAAACGCAAAAATTAGGTCTCCGAAGTTCAACTTCATTACATGTCCGATTGGCATCAATGGGTGAAAARAGCCCCATTGGACGGACACGCCCAGTTAAGGGGTATCGCAATGCCATTATTGATTGATGCAAATCAAGAACGGTTAACAATCGTCGCTGATTGACATCCAAAGCGTCCAAAGCATCTTTYCCTAAACGTTCTGCTACCTTATTAGGAATTATCATAAACAAATGCGGGTGRTACATCTCAAAGCGACCTTCRATGATATCCACRGTGTATCGGGTGTAGGTATTACCATGATCGGCTAGTAGTAYCGTAATGGTATTGTCCAAAAGGGATAATTTCTTGACATATTCTAGTAGAGTTAAGTCATGCGACTGGATTCTTCTGCCYGTRTGGTCATGTCCAACGTTTGAMGCCATGTATGTAAACAACGGTAATGCWTGGGAATCTGATGAAATGGCCCTTAACGTGTCTATAGTGTAGTTGAAAAAGTATCTGTGCTGGAATTGACCCGAATAGCATATTTGAATCGGATCATAAAATGGCCATTTCGTCCCATAAATGTATTCTAAAACTTCACAACTTGAATCTGTCAAACCTGAAAACAAAAATATCTGAAATCAGACAAAAGGATTTCAAAATAAACAAATCGACATTTCTGGGGAAACAACAATAACATGTTTGTTTTTGGTCCGGTATCCTAGTCATTCGCGCGCTATGATTGGCTAGCGCGCGGTCCAGTATTTCACGATCTGCCCGGTCCACGGTATCCCGCAGCTAGGTTGCGAGCAAAGTTGCATAAAATACAAATTATAATACTGTCTGATGAGTGCGTAGCACGAAACTCGGAGTCACAGCAAAATCTTGCCTCTTTGATATCATATATATAACTAGCTCTACACTTTATGTGTATTGAGCACTCTTTAATGGGATCAGCCACTTCCTCATACGATTAAAATACAAATTAAACAACTTAAAATGTCACTTACCGGCTATAGGTCGGTCAGTATGGGAAAACACTGCCCTCGSTCTTTTATGTCCGTAATGTCAAGACCTCGGGCAGTATTTTCCTATACGGACCTCCCAGCCGGTAAATAACATATATGTTTTTGCTCTTCAGACTACCACGGGAAGCCCAACAGTGCGAGAACTTAATGACTTCTTCGGTGTGAATAAAGTTTCAAATACTAATAATCAATCAACTGCATTTTTGCAAATCGATCTCAGTTTTTTCAGTTCATTATTATCATGACAATGAAACATCTTTAAACCGGAAATAAGCCAACTGCTTGCCCCAGCCCTTTCCCAACAACATACCAACGTGATCTATAAAGTTTTCTTTGAGTTTCTGTTGCAAATTCTCCCAGCTGTCTGCTTTCAAATCCAACTTTAGACCCCACACAGCTTTCCAGCACAAGTCTTCTTGCCACATCGTTTGAAAGCCTGCCTTTTGGAAAGCGCCAAACATCGTTGCCGGATGTACGRTGCGKTCAYTTTCCGTCTTGTCCAGCGGTAGCAATTTCCCATTAAACAGAGCGTGAGTGTTTTCTGTAGTGTGACCTTCCACAGCTTGAAATAACTCAAAATCAAAGACCCKCGCAGGAGCCAATGAACTATCGTTTGTCCAYTTTTTGAAAAGTTCAATTGTTTTTGGCAAAGATCGGTAGAAGTGAGCCCGCGATACRGAATCGGAAAGTAGWATATTCACGTTTATTAAGTTCTTGTCACGCGACGTATTAGTCCTTTTGATTGTCAATCKAGGATCTATAGGAAGAATTTGAGAGCGTATTGTCGTTGACTGTGGTTCACTTGATAAGCAACGAATAACAAGAAAGTGAATATTGTTCTTRATGTTTTCMWGAACAACTTTGTGAACACCCTTTTCAAGGGCTGATATAGTTTGAAAAGAACCAACATTTTTTATATAACCACTTTGCACTGTAAGAACTTGTAACTTGTTCTTTTCGCTATTCTCTTTACAAATCCTATCACAGGTCACATTAAAACTATATTTCATGTCTTTATGAGGGTTTTCAGGCATAACATTTATATGACATATAGCTGGGGCAGCACCACCTTTCCCCATGCCACATCTTGTAAGCTTCGGGTCCAATTTATATATTCTCCGCACCATTTTTATAGCTTCTCGGCTTGGTTTATGAGGAGAACAGCGACCATAGTCTGCGTTCCTGACAAATTTCAGATAATCTTGAGGATAATCTATTTCCCCATCCAGAAGATGCTTCATATCCAACTTCCGAGTCCCAATTTCAGATAAAAGTACAAGAAGTATAACTAAAACTAGGCATATGATGATTAAAATTGTCCACTTTAGAGAGCGGTGCCTTGGTACTAATCGTCGTTTCAAGCATAAGGGTACATTTTTCAACAAGGTACATACTATAGACATTTTGTAAAACTGAAGGCTGTTATGTTAAATTTAGTTCTTAACCTGAAATAAAAAATAACACAAAGTTAGAAATAATGAAAACAATTCTATCCTACTCTTTCAGTGCAATGTGTTGCCATGACAGCAATTTGGTATGCAAAACAACACTTTCTCATTTATGGAATTCTTTGTTTGAAGAACATGTCACAGCAGCCATCTTGGTTGAACTTCAACAAAGGACTCCTTATTAGTATCTATTGTGTATTCAACCAACTTGGCTGCCAGTCTTTAATTTTTCGAATCTAATACTAGCAATTATAATACACTGCATATAGTAAGTTGGGGAACAGCATTTGAATTTTTTGACAAAACCATGTTATTGAAATATGTTGCTATCCAAATATTAGAACTAAAAAGAGATATTCACAGGCTCAAACTCTAAATCACCTAGGATACTCAAATATTTTGGAAAAATTTAAGGAATAATTAACATAAAGACCACAAAATATTGACCTTTTTTGGTATAAGATACTTAAATATCACAAAACAAATTGTTGGATTTGTTTGGGGTTAGCAGCTGTCTGGGAGTCAGAAAGGTTGACACAAATTTCTTATTTTCTTTCCTTTTCTGATGGTCTTGATAAAGGATAAAATGACATATTTACAACATCCTTTTCAAAAAATTCACTCCACTATTTTTACTAACATTTACTTCTAATGACTGATCATTTTAGGTGATAAAGCTAGTGTAGATATTAAAAACGATTTATCATATAATTATTTATGAAATACCTATATTTTCCACTGGCAGAATATTTAATAAGACAAAAAAAAATTCCGAAAAAGCGCAACTGATATTTTTTTTGACGGAAAAGTAGCTTTACTTTTTTACTTTATGTTTTACCTTGTGCTTCTTTAAATAAATTAGCGATATATTGTTACGAAGCTCTTTATTTATTCACAGTACTCAGTGCTCGTACCATCTGTGTAACCCTTCATTTTGAAATTAACATCCATTTGAGACACCTTTATTTATTATTTATTTACAACTTTATAATTGTTTTCTGTACCACTATCCTTTCTTTCAATAAACAACATTAAAAACCAAAAAAAAAAGACATCATTATTTTTATGTAGTACTTATTTGGAGAATAACGTTTTATTCCCGAAACAACCTATTTCCAGAGCAAACCGGAAACCAAGACAACTCACGTTCATCCTTGGCTTTTTCAAACACTAAAAACGTATTCATTTATTCAAACACTAAAAACGTATTCATTTATTTAAAAAAGTAAGGCATTCAAGTATATTTTCATTTTCAGATGCGAGTTAATAAATTTTCATGAAAGACATGCTTTCAAAATTCTACACAAAAATATCCAGTACGCGTATAACTGGCTATTCTAGAACGCTTAAAATACTGTCGGAAATGTCACAAAATTCTCAAGTGAGGACAACAAACCATGTTTTCTTACTCTATAAAAACAAATTGAAGCCCAAATATACGGACAAAATAACATCACAATATGACATCATATTCGGTCCATTGCTTCGAATGCGCGTTCCTGGACACGCTGAAGTAAACAAAATTTGAATTCTGTTTCGTTTTAAACATATTTATTAACTAAAAGTTTTCACTTATTATAGGAATTCCTGTAGAACACAAAAGAGCCGAACGAGTGGCTTAAGCTAGTGTACTGATATAAGAAAAATTGGCCAAAATGTCTACATATGTCCTGTCTTAACCAACAAGCTTAAATCGAAGAGATATTCATGGTTTTTGTTTATTTAGTTCCCGATCCTTAAGCAGCTGTGCAARCYAAYATGACAAACTAGTGATAAACAGCTCTTTTAGCGATCAAAATCTCACAGTTCTAAATTTAAGATTGTGCATCTTCATCAATGCATGAAAGTAAATTAATACCGTACAAACACGAAGTTGCAGACTGGAAGAAAAAGCGTTTTAGGGCAGTAAAATAAAGACTGGCAGACCTACCCTCTGTTCACATTGTTTTTTRAACGYCTAAAGCYCAAAATTAGTAAGTTATTCAGCTACAGCAAGGCGGAATTTAAATTTTAGCACTGTTTGTGAAAGTCAAGCTATTGTGCCATTTCAGCCGCACCTCAAACGCACAAAAAAATTCAGTTTAAGTTGAAAGTCAAGAGTAAACCTTTACAGACGTTGACTAGCAGTCTTAAAACACTCTACAGTGAGGACGACAGACCGTCTTTATTCATTTGGAATGTATAAAAAAGCTCCAAATACCCAAAAGATGCCAAACGTGACAGAGTTCATGTACTTCTTAAATGTCACCGATTCGGTCTAATGCTTTTAAGGCTGATTTACACGGTACGATTTGTCGCGCGCGACTTGTAGTATACTACAAGTCGTAGGATTTTAAGCAGTGGTTCAAAATCCTACTACAAGTCGTAGGTTGCGTACAACTGCATGTTGTAGACAAGTCGTAGGGGCATTTACACTGCACGATTCAAGTCGTATACTACAAATCGCACGAGACAGTCGTGCCGTGTAAATCAGCCTTAAATTACAACCTTATAAATGACACTATTGTAATACACAAAAATAAACTTACAGTTATTAGTTCTGGTTGGTTGTTCGTTGTTTCACTCTCGATAACTCACGGATCCATACGAAACACAAACGAATAGATGTTTAGACATGTGCTGACGAGTGCTGACATCTAATCGCTGACCGTGTGGATTGAGGAAGATTGGGGAGAGAAAATGGCCGCGCGGCCAGCCGCACACGGACTCTTTGCTCTGCACAAAACGCATCTTCACACGAACGAGGCCAAAGGCTACACGTTGCAAGRGAAAATTATATCTTAGTGCAATGAGATCGAAGTCTATATAATTGTGTTTCTACAACAGTTTTTGCGAATGTCGGAACAGAAAGTAGCAAGCATATAAAGGCCTGGGTACCAAGTGCGGTCGCTTGGSCTGGAAAATGCATTTTGCGTAGAAGTATTGCTTGGTCCAAGAAAAAAACGAGAGCCTATCTAAAAATCACTGAATCACTTATTATGAAAGGCAAAACTGTCTCCCTATAATCACAGAATCGAAAGTTTCATCGCCGTGAGAGCATTACAAGGTACAATAGCGAAAAGGGCCGCTCTCTTCCGTCGTGTTAGCGTCACTGGTCCTAGGTATTTAGAAGGCCTATAAACATTTCCTCGTGTGTTGTGAAAACGTCTAGTATTAATAATACTAAGGAAAATTCATTGATAAACTGTCGTTCAAACATTATAAATCGTTAAATATTCATGTTTGACATATAAGTCTTTCACTAAAGATAACAAGGCTGAAGCAATGGACCGCAAATATGCATTCAGTTTATTATTTAAACTGACATTTGAAGAGTTCCACTAGTGTAGCCTTACTTCTATTACATTTTTAGCCATGGCTGACACTTTTGTATAGTTTTTAACATGACAAAAGGAGCCAGGAAAAAAGAGTCGTTTCATTATTCGCCTGACATGTTTTCCCGGTTTTCATTTTTTTACCCACGCTTTCCAGGATTTTTTCAGGACCGTCAAGACAGGCAATTTTATATCTTTAGATCGATAAATCCACCATCTTGTTTAGATTCTTTACGACTAATGCCGACCAAACTAAAGGCTTTGTACGTGTTGTGATAAATCGRATATTCCCTGAATTTGCATAATGTGTTCAGTTGTTGAAACCACATGTATTAACATTTTTTGSAATTTTCTGTTATACATGTAATATAAATTTGGTTTTAAGTCATTTTAGTCATTAACCTAGAAGAAACTAGCAAAAATGATGTTTTTGCCCTCTACAGTGCGCGCCAGAAAACCGTGAAACAATAGTTTTCTTCACGGTTCCCTGCGCCATCTTGCAGATCTTGAAATGTAGCCGTGCATGCCTTTGCATCGAAGCGAGACGACCGTTGAGCGATGATAGAAGCCTTCTTTCACACCCACAGACAATTATTTACAGGTATCTTTCATTGCATGCTCAACGGTTGTCTCGCTTCGATGTAAAGGCACGGCTACCTTTCAAGATGGCGCACGTAACCGTGAAGGAGACTATAGAGCTATAGACCCCTTGCAGTTCATGGGAATGCAGCTCCAACTGGAGGACAAAACAATAGATTCTAGTTCCCAAGAGGATAAAAATCTTTTGTTTTGTCCTCCAGATGAAGCTGTTTTGACGTCACATGCAAGGGGTCTATTCTTGACTATTCTTAACAATCAACAACTAATAAGGTTTAGTTATCAATTAACTAAGAATTCACTGGGGTATGAAAGCAAGTTGTATTTGTTTATGCCTCAAAGATTTTTAATTAGTTGATAACTAAATCTTATAGGCGAATAATTTTTTTACATTTCGGTTCATTAACATATCATTACCATAATCATATACCGTTTTAACCTAACTATCAGTAAATCAGCACTGAATATTGAAACATAGCACAATAAGCTTTTCTCGCAATTTTGAGCTTCCCATAAAATACTTTTTGCGTCAAACGGTTTTAAAAACTCCAATTTTTAGAGAGATTTAATATATGAGGTAATTCAGCATCTTTGAACGCTGATATCTCATAAACTATTGCATGCAAAGAAATTTAAACTTTATGCTATAATAAACAAAATTTTGTAAACAAAGATCCGCCTATTAAGTCGCTAATTATAGTCAAGAACTTTTTTTGCTTGAAAAACAAATTTTATTGCAGACGTTTCGATCGCAACTGCGACCTTCTTCAGTGCAGTGGCAAATTGCAAAGTGTGCACAAGCGACTAACGGTTTCTTTAGAAACACCGACGCAGCTCACACTAGTTTACCGCTAGTTCCCACCGGTTTAGTTAAGAACTGTTTCTGAAAAACACGGGTTGGAAAGTAAATTTAGGACAGTTTTTAGCAAATTTCAATTCAGGTCTTGGCATGCAATTTGCAATATTTCATGCCATTTATACGTGGGGACCGTATAATAAGCGTTTTTGGTATAAAAAAGGCACGATTCACGCCTAA